ACATACATACATACATACATACATACATACATACATACATACATACAGATGAACAGACTTGAAGCAAAATGGGGCTCTGTAGCTTTTCAAAAGTGATCTCTTTCATTTTAAACTAATTTACTGGCAGATATTTGCATGTCTGCAGTGTAATTCCACTGTTGACCTCCAGGGTGTGACAGTAAGGTATTGAACACTTCTTTTGTACTTTTTTCACGGCAAAGAAGAAGTTTCCACTTTTCTCTTTTTTTTCGGGGATGGGGGGGGTGAGGGGCTGGCCTTTTTGTTCCGCTGGAGAGTCCTGCTTGAACGGTGAGCAGGAGTAAGACCCGCCGACGAGAAAGCGCACAGCTCTGACCAATCGGCTTAATCCCAGCGCCGGGGAGAGCACGCTGCCCTGCGGAGGAGGAGCGGGTACGGCCGGACCTTATCTCCCTCCTGCTCCGCCGTTAGCAGCTCCAGGGTCAACGGGGCGAACCAGCAACTGCCTGCTATCCCCGTTAGCCTCAACTCCTCTGCGGGTCTGGGGGGGTTCTGTTAGGGGCAGGGGGCGGGGGTACACCGAGAAGGGAGAAGACTACACGCCAGAGGAGGGGACTGGAAGTCTGAGACGCTTCCAGGCTGAAGGGGCCGGCGGTTCGGCCACAGCACCCCGGAGTAGCTAGCTTCTACCCGCGCGGCTAAGTGAATGGGATGGAGCCGGGACCGTCTGGCGCTGGTAGGTCTATTTTTTTTTATCAAGTCGTTCAAGGTGCCTTTAATTCATCTACACTGATAACGGTAACCGATGCCGATTGCAGTTGGGGGGGGGGGGGGGGAGGGGCCCGCAGCCCGGGCCCGCGCCAGAGGGGGGGGTAAAAAGAGGCTTGGTGTCAGCCCCCCGTGTTGCACCGCAACGTTTAGGGGGAAAGCGGTGCGAGATGGAGAGGGCTCTCCTCCAGGATGCGTGCTCAGCTCATTGAAGAAAAACCCAGTTCGTTGGGATTTATAGCCATAGACAAGTCTTTTAGAGCGCTGACAATATCTCCAGCCATGAGCGGGGGCAGGGAGGTCGTGGGAATCTCTGTGAGGAGGAACGAGGTGAAGCCCGCCTTCCAGCAGCAGCAGCAGCTGGCTGCACAGCACACCGGCCGCCCTCCACCCTCCTCCATCCTCCCTCCACCCTCCTCCCTGATGGATGCTCAGAAAGTCGCCTAAACGGCGTTTGAACACCTACGTTTAACATCCAACATTAAGGACAGCCTCAGGCCTGCCGTCCAGAGTAAAGAAGAGTGAATGATTTATTTATGTGGAACCAAAAATAACACTCATTTGTGATACCTGCACATGCCCTGCAGGAGTTAGGGGGGACCCGTTTTTAAAGCCTGGGACAGGCAGGGACATTTTCCACGCACTGCATTTGTGTGTGCTGCTTTTTGCTCCGCATGCATCACTTTCAGATTTACAACAAGTTCTCATCGGTGCCAGAGATGATCTTTATTTGGCAGTTTCCTTGGTTGTTGCAGAGGAGGAGGGGGGTGAGAGCTTTTAAGAAACTTGGCAGCTTTTTACTCTGAGCCCAGCACTGAAGTCCATTTATTCCATTGTACTGAATTCTGACTTTTAATCCAATCTAAAATATGCAGAGTTAAGTAAAGACACCACTGTGGCCTCTTAGCACCGTTACACAGTTAAGTATTTCAGAATCCTCTTTGGATATCTTAAAACTGACTAAATTGGGATGACCAAATCATATGTTTAAAAAAAATCACAGTTTCATACTCCATCTTGAACCTTTTAATTCAGTTGAATACCCTTAGTGTTAATTTATTGAGAATGGGGGAAGGGCCCTTGGGGTCCCTCATTTCAAAATCTGCTTTTGTGTTTGAAGTGTGACGATTCCAAGTGCTGTTTTCCCACATTGATTCGAAATGTTTACCACATTGTCAACAACCATTACGCTGCTAGTTTGTCCATGTAAATGAATGCATAGCTTCCTTCGGGTTATGTGAGCTGTGCTTGAACTGAATTAAATCTGAGTCAAATGGGCACTTATGCCGGCAGGCCAGTGACGAACCAAAGGAGAGTAAACAAAAGACACAGACATGCAATCTTAGGTACAACTTTAAAGCAGCAATGCCAGAAACTCCCATGTGGCACGAGCTTATTGCCTGTGACGTCATCGTAAATACTGCGAGAAGCGAGTGACTTTGTGTTGTGATGCCGCGCTCCAAGTCCTGCCGCCTTGGAGACACTGCTATTGTGTTAGGATATGTGAGAGCGCTGGCTTCACTTCTCACCATCTGCCTGCACTGGCACCGGGGCGAAGTGTGTGTCACTGCGCGCGGGCCTGCGTCAGCGACAACACACTTGCACGTTCACTACCGTCCATGTTTACTTCTTGCACAGCTTTGTTTTGGGGTATTTTTCAGATGTGCGTTTCTACGTGCAGGGGACAAATAACTCTCTGAGCCATGGACTTTAGTGTTTAACAGCTTTTTAGAAGACGTGAGGTTGAGTGGGACATTCAAGTCATGAGTTTCATTTAGTATCTTTAAGATAAGAACAAAAAAAACAACGCAGTGGATATTCCTGGATAGGCTTCTCAAGCTCTTCCAACCCATGTGGGAACATCTTCGGAGCAGGTCCGAAAAAGGCCAAGGTCCCTACAGCATGACACAGTGGCGGCCGGCCTCCTCCCATCTTCTACAACAGCCTTACACATGTAGACAGACACACAAGTCCCTCATATCCATGACAAAGCTGTGTTACCGTGGCGTCTCCATGGTGAGGCTGGGAATGTAGAGGGGGGCCCCTGTGTTTCTGTGGAGGAGTGTGTTCATCGTAGCAAGGGCGATCCCTCTACCGTACACCATGTATTTTGTGAGTGTGAGATGGAGGAGCAGGGCAGCTGGGGTCTTTGTTGGGATGGAGGAGGGCTGCTCTCTGGGGACCTAGAGGTTAAAGTAGTGGGCCCCTTTTGGGCAGGAATCGCAGTTAACCTCAGATCTACCAACCGCTCCCTTATTCCTGCACCGCATTTTATCAAGCTCCTCATATCTAAGAAGAGAAACTAATATGGGGGCTGATGGTCTATTATGAGTCAAGCTGATGTCGAACATTTGTGAAATAAAGTGTGTATAAGGCAGGATGATACCAGTCGGTGTCAAAGGTCAACTGGCCCACAAAGACTCTTTTGCGTGCAGAAGTTAGGTGTGTTTTCGGCATTGCAAAACCCACGGCTGTTCACCAGCTGTCCATAGGACGCTGTTCTGTTTAAAGATATACTTGTGAGTTTTTTTTAACCCAAAGTACCCAGAAATTAGATATTTCTGAGGAAAAAAAGATGAATCTCTTGGATGTCCTTTTAGGTTTAAGGTGTGGGGGGGGCTGGCTAGAATGCTGTGACTGCAGAGCTGGTCAGCTGGTCAGCTGCCCGCACTGAGCAGGCAAACCAGGATGAGCACATTGGTGTCACACCTTTCCACAGGCAGACTGTCTGTGTTGTGTAGAAAATCACTTGTGTGTTTTATATTCCCACGTTGTGTTACCATGTAACAGAGTTATATGACTTTACTGTGTTTTAACGTTTAGGATATTTTTGCTAATTTATTCTCTCTCTCTCTCTTTCCATTTTCCTCTCTCCCTCCGTTGTCTTATCTGGTCGTTCCTCCTGTTCTTTATGCCTGCTCAATCTGCCTTCAATACCCCTTATCTTACTCATCCAAAACATCACCTCTTTTTTCTGCCCCCCCACACATACATCTGCTTAACTTTTTCCTTGACATTGTTTCTTTTCTTTCCTATCTTCCCTCCCCTGCCTTCCTGCTTCTGCTGCTGACTCCTGTGGTCCCTTATCGTGTCTTTTTTCTTCTTCTCTTTTCCCCTGCCCACACATCCTGCCTGGCTTGTGCCCACGTTTGGGGCCCTCTTTGCCCTTTCCTCTGCTGCTCTTTTTTTCCTTCCTTCCTTCCTTTCCTGTCCTTTTTCATCAACGTTCCGTTTCTCTGGACTCTCTCGATTCAAATCCCCTCTGCTGTTAACCCCTCTTCCCTCTGCCCTTACCTGCCCCTTGTGGATGCTGTCACTGGTCCAGTGCCCTTGGGGGTATTCCCCCCACCCCTGCAGCAGGTGTTCCATGCCCCCCGCCGGCCAGGCATGGGCACCGTGGGCAAGCCCATCAAGCTGCTGGCCAACTACTTCGAAGTCGAGATCCCAAAGATGGACGTCTTTCACTATGAGGTGGACATCAAGCCGGATAAGTGCCCACGACGAGTCAACAGGTAACGGAATGGGAGAATTTGGTTACTCTTTAGTTGAGATGTTCTTTTTTTCTATTTTAAATTGAAACTCTACCTGCTTTTAGGCTGGACGATATCTTCTTACTTAATGGTTGTTTAAAATCCAGATGATGTCACTATTTGTTTGCCTTTTCATCTCCTCAACGCTCCACTTTGAAACCAAGAAACTGATCTCAGCAAAACGTGGAAAGTTAGCTCTCTTCCTAAAACCCACTTGAGTCTGTGAGGAGGGAGTGGACGAGCTGCAGGCCATAAGGATGTTAGGTGTCTGTGATGGAAGAGGGGCACAACCCTCAATAAAACAGTCTGTTACAGTCACATACAGTCTAAATCCTCATGGGACAGATCATAAAGCAGGTCCCATTGGAAAGTGTCAGGAAAACTGGTCTCATAAGTTTTTCTGAGGCAATTCTCTTTTTTTATTTTATCACGCTTTACAAGACACTTGTTAATGGATCAATAACGTAAAGTTGTGACAGCTTAACTGTCTGTGGTAGTACGGTTTTAACTGATCCCAGCGCTTTTTCAGCACTTTTTATATAAAAACAAACTGTTGTGCTGATGATTTGTCATTATTTGTTTCTTTAATCTCACCACTAAATGGTACTAAAAAAAGAAAAGGTATCAAAGCCCGCAGGGGAAATGTGCTGTCTGCCACACAGATTTGTCTCATGGCTCCCCAGAGAGCAACTCCTTCAGAACAAACTAAAGAAAAAATGGCAGGGCTTTCTCATCTCTTTTGAAGGGCACGCACGATTTGTATGTTTTCATCATGTTTGGCATGGCGTTTTCCCTTTTTTCACAGCATCTTGTGTTTTTAGTACCAAACTGGAATGGTGTTATGTTTGTGAACCTGTGCTGGATGGTGAGGAGACGTGATTGGCTACCATGCTCCTCCAGTGTCCTGTTTGGAGTAAAGTGTCAGAGCTGGCTCGATGCAGAAACATAAGAACTTTGTTTTATTACCAGCTCGTTCTGATGCTCACTGTCCCCGATGTGTCCTGTTTATGTCGTCAGACTCCTGGACAATATTGCTGATATTAATTTAAGCTCTGGAAAGAATCAATTTAGCTGTCAGATGTTTATTTGCAAACATGGGGAGCAGAGCTGGGATTTTATCGGTGCTGTTATTGGTAACAGTGTGTCTCCAATGTGAAGTAAAAGACAATCATCTCAAAATAAGAAAGAAACGGCTGACAGTACATTTCTTCTCGCCAAAACTGGCATCACACAATAATAAAAACGTCCTCTCTGAAAACCGTGAAGTCCCTTAGCAGAGAACTCCTAAGTCCTTGAACTAGAAAAAAGGAAGAAGTCAGTATTACGTTTCCTTCTCTAATTAAAAGGAGTTGCGGGGCTCAGTAATCCTCAATGCAAAAGGAGGCATCTTGAAAGCCACACATCCTGTTTCCAGCTCCTCTAACGTTCAGAGAGCATCTCGGCCTCTTTTGGATTTGAGACACAAAGAGCCCAAGAAGCATGCAGAGGTTGAGCCCTCTGACCTTTCCTTTTATGAACCGATCCTCATCCCCCACACTTAAATGGAGGAGAAGGCATTGAGCATTGCTCCCCGCCACCACCTGCACTCCCATTCTTTTTGTCCTCACCTCCCTTCTGTGCCCCCCCCTCCTAGCTGAATTCCGCCCAATCAATACTCCATCTAATTAAAACTATGCCTGCCAATCACAATTCAGTGTTCTGACCAGGCTAAAGGTGTAATTATTACAGGGTGTTTCCTTCTGTTTTCATACTAACCCCAGTGTCTTTATGTGTTGTGTCCCACAGAGAGGTGGTTGAGTACATGGTTCAGCACTTCAAGCCCCAGCTCTTTGGCGACAGGAAGCCAGTGTACGATGGCAAGAAGAACATTTACACAGTGCTAGCTCTTCCTATTGGGAGTGAGAAGGTAAACATGTTTTGTATTTTGCTCTTCCCATCACAACTAAATTGGCAGTTCTTTTCTCCAATCACAGATCCATTGGATCCACTGATCCAATCTATTCAGATTCACTAGTAAAGCTGGAATGTTTCCCATGATTTAAAAAGCCCCCCCTCTGTGTGGAGCCTTTGAGATTTGTGAAAAGGGATTTGAGGATGACAAAATCTGGTTTCTAGTTGGAAGGTGATAGGACTGTTTAGTCACTAATAAGACCTTCACCAGCAGTTGGATAAAGTAGTCTAACTGTCCTGCCCAAGTCTTTCTGCTGGTTAACTTTTAGTCCCTTGGTGAGAAAGACAAAACCTCAAATCCCTCAAACGGGGATCGATAAACTGTTTAATAACACAAAGTGTGTTTTTTTGGTGTCAGAACGGCTGAAAAGAATTGGATCTTGGTGGCATTTTACACTTTTACCCCTCAGCTTTTAACTTGAAGCTTTTGGGTGCTGCTCAGAATTCAAACCGAGAGTTCATTGTGATGAAAGCTGCAGGAACAGATTGGACAGCCTTCAGTCCCAGACTGATTGTTTAGTGCTTTATTAGATTTCTGGGTTGCTGTCTAGGAGCAGGCTGAAATTATTACACTGTTTTACAGACGGTGTTTCTTAACCGTTTGAAAATGTGTTTTACTTTGGACTCCGAAAAACATACAAAACAATTTTATCTATAAAGCTATTTTGTTGTTCGATCCTTGTTTACCTGAAATGTGTCTTTTTCATAGTTGAATTTTAAACATTGCGTAAGTTCTTTGGAATATTTAGAGTTCTGGAAACAAAGCTTTGGTGAAGTAAAACCACGCAAGCCCATGAATTCTAAAAAATATTTAGTATGTTTTAGGAGCCGTGTTCAAAAAGAGTCTTTTTTACTGCTTATTGCTGTCCATCTGCAGCCTTGATCTTCACCTCTTTATGTCCTCTGTCCAGGTGGACTTTGAGGTAACGATCCCTGGTGAGGGTAAGGACCGAATCTTTAAGGTGTCCATCCGTTGGCTGGCCAAGGTGTCATGGCGCCTGCTGCAGGAGACTCTAGTCAGCGGCCGGCTGCAGGTCCCCCTCGACTCCGTTCAAGCCCTGGATGTGGCTATGCGCCACTTGGCCTCTATGAGGTATAGCAGTGTGGATAAGTGCTTGTACTCACACGGTGGGATTTAGATTGGATTTGGGATTTTTTGCTGTTTTTATTTGACTAACAGAGGTGGCAGAGTTCCCCTCCTCTCTTATGCTTCATAGCCCCAGGTATTACTCAACAAAAGATGGTTGTTAGCAGAGACTTGTGTGAAAGTGTGTGAACAATGCTGAGCAATCTGATCGTGATAGCTGGCTTCACCACTTGACCTGAAAATGGTCAAAATGGAAGTCCTCAAGTGACAAATATCAGCTCACTGACATTCTATCCCATTTCTCAGGCTTTAGAAAAGATCCATTCGGAATCTTTTCTGGCTTTTTCTGCTTTGTGGCGATGTTCTCGCAGTTACAACTTTACTGGAAATGAAGTCATGCTGAGATCATGCTCTGAATTTCCACACTCATCATTTTCACCTCTGACTCCTCAATTAGGTACACTCCAGTGGGCCGTTCATTCTTCTCCCCACCTGAAGGATATTATCACCCACTGGGCGGGGGGAGGGAGGTCTGGTTTGGATTCCACCAGTCCGTGCGTCCTGCCATGTGGAAGATGATGCTCAACATTGATGGTGAGTCACTGAAGATGTGCTCATCAGACCAGCTCATCACTCCAGCTCCTGAGACCAGACGGGAACTGTTGACTGAATTTATTTTGCTGCCATTTGCGTTTCCTGCGTGCAACGGTTTTAATAAAAGCCATCAGTGGGGACAAAGATCTGAAAAGTAAATCAACTGGAAGCATGCCCAGACCTTGTTGCTCTCTGTCTCCCTCTAGTGTCTGCCACTGCCTTCTACAAAGCCCAGCCTGTTATTGAGTTCATGTGTGAAGTTTTGGACATTCGCAACATCGATGAGCAGCCCAAAACTCTCACAGACTCACAAAGGGTTCGCTTCACCAAGGAAATTAAAGGTAGACAACTAGATCATTTTCAAAGTACGTCCAGCCATTTCATCAGAAACTCAAAGCAATGTGAACCTTTGACCTTATGGAAAGCATGATTCCATTATTATTTATGCATCTATTTATTTTCTAATTGGTGATGTTTGTCTTTTTAGTGCTTTTTTGATAGTTGTGATTGCTTGTTTAAATGTTTCAGTCAATCGTTTGTTGTGCGTTTAATGCTTGTGCATTGTCGGCAGGCCTGAAGGTGGAGGTGACCCACTGTGGCCAAATGAAGAGGAAATACCGTGTATGCAATGTCACCAGACGTCCTGCCAGCCACCAAACGTAAATATAAAGCAAAAACAACGTTTAAAATAAAATCTTTCACATATCTTTGTTTTCAAAATGACCCTAAATGAGTTGTATTTATTTGTGTCTCAGGGGCGTAAAGATTTGCTGATACAAATCAGTCAGATTTTTAGCATTTAACCAGAAAGGACTTTATCATGGATCTTAATGATTACATTTAAAACATATTCATCAACATTGTGATAACATCGTACTGATGGTGCTCTCACCACCAGGTTTCCCCTCCAGCTTGAGAGTGGGCAGACAGTCGAATGTACAGTGGCCCAGTACTTCAAGCAGAAGTACAACCTGCAGCTTAAATACCCCCACCTACCCTGTCTACAAGTGGGGCAAGAGCAGAAGCACACCTACCTGCCACTGGAGGTGAGGAGGAGTGCACAGATGATTGGCTTTTCACAGACTAAAGCATGAACGCAGACTTTCTTGGTGTTTACGCCCCGTGCTTTCACTCATTCCAGGTGTGTAACATTGTAGCCGGTCAGCGATGCATCAAGAAACTGACCGATAATCAGACCTCCACTATGATAAAAGCCACAGCTCGCTCTGCACCTGACAGACAGGAGGAGATCAGCAGGCTGGTGAGTTTTGTTGAACGTTGGCTGACGAAAGCCCGCCGATCTCGCATTACGAATGAGAATATACCACTCAGGGATTTATAGTCCAAGTTGGAGGCGGTGAGATATGACCCATGCGATTATCTCCACAGATGAAGAATGCTAACTTCAACCTGGACCCATACATCCAGGAGTTTGGGATCAAGGTGAAGGATGACATGGCGGAGGTGACGGGCAGGGTGCTGCCGGCTCCTATTCTGCAGTACGGAGGACGGGTAACTAAGCCTCATTGATCAGCCGTGAGAAATGGCTCTTAAGCTGTGAAAAATTCAATTATTTAAGTCTGACCTGTTTTGGCTCACACAGTTTCCCTTCTGGTGCTCTCCTCCATAGAACCGTGCCATAGCTACCCCCAACCAGGGAGTGTGGGATATGAGAGGGAAACAGTTTTACAACGGCATCGAGATCAAAGTGTGGGCCATTGCCTGCTTTGCCCCCCAGAAACAGTGCAGAGAAGAGGTGCTCAAGTAAGTTCTAATGAGTAGCTGTGGTGAGGATTATTTTTGTTCAGAGGGGGATTAAATGGATTCCGCTCACAACATTATTTGTCTTTGTGTTGAATTTAAAAGGCAAAAGACTTCATATCCACTGTTAATGGAGATGTTTTCACAGGAGAGAAGAAATGTGTCTGCTTAATGCTGAGCATTTAGCATCTAAAATAAAGTTGTTTTCAGACTTAACTGGTTTTTATAATGAATTTCTGAAGAAAAAGGCTACATTTCATAAGACAGCACAACGTCTGACATATAGTTAGACTAACATTGAACTAATTTTTTACAGGAACTTCACAGACCAACTGCGTAAAATCTCCAAGGATGCTGGAATGCCAATTCAGGGCCAGCCATGCTTTTGTAAATACGCCCAGGGAGCAGACAGTGTGGAGCCAATGTTCAGACACCTGAAAAACACCTACTCTGGACTTCAGCTCATCATCGTCATCCTGCCAGGAAAAACCCCGGTCTATGGTATGAGAATTTCTCTTTTTGAAATGTCTGTATCATTGTACTGATGCTGCTTCCAAAAATGGAAGCCAGCACCTTCAGTCTGAGGCAGAGAGGGAAAATCCAGTTTAGAGGATAGCATTTGTGTCGTGGTAATGCGTCCATCAGTAAAGGCCCCGTTGATGTTTTGAAATACAAAAAGAAAGGGACACCTTTAACTTAAAAGAAGAGATTTTGGAACATGGCGACACTTTGGATTTATACATCCATCTAGCATTAAATTCCAAATATTCTTCAGATCTTCGATCTGATTCAACATTCGATTTGCTCCATTTTAAGATGTAAATGTCCATCCTGTGTCTAATTTCTCTGTCCTTCCCTTTCAGCGGAGGTAAAGCGCGTGGGAGACACTCTTCTGGGCATGGCCACGCAATGTGTCCAGGTGAAGAATGTGGTAAAGACGTCCCCTCAGACTCTCTCCAACCTCTGCCTCAAGATCAATGTGAAGCTGGGAGGCATTAACAACATCCTGGTGCCTCACCAACGGTGAGCTTTTGTTTCAGCTGGTCTGCTCAGTCTGTGTTTTTTTAGGTATTTCTCTGAATGATTGTCATAATTGTCTTTGATTGTTCTGATTCCCCCCCCCCTATTATTTGGAGACTGTGTTGTCATGTTAAGTAACATATTGGCCCATCGTTTCAGTTTCTTGCCTTGATGAGCATGTGTCATTTGCACGTGTGCTCTCAGGTCAGCGGTATTTCAGCAGCCGGTTATCTTCCTGGGAGCAGACGTCACACACCCCCCAGCTGGAGATGGCAAGAAGCCCTCCATTACTGCTGTAAGTTTTTTAAATTAAGCCCTCATTTAACAATAACAAGTAAGCTTGAAGACCATTTTGAATGGGAAGGGAAACCAAGCCTCTATTGTAATGTAGGCATGCAGGTTAAAGCCATGCGGGTGGTTTATAGGTGGGCCAAGTACCAAAAGGTATTATTACTATTGAAAATACTTATTCCGGTTCTTGTCTAAACTGTTTTATTAGTTCTTGGCTTAAAAGTAAATGGTTTTGCTCTGAGTTTAAAGAGTATGTATGTTGTTTGATGGAGGTTTTTGCATTGGCACACACCACAAGGTCAGTTTGATGTCCCTTTTCAAGGTGATTGTCTTTAAGGACTGCAAGTACAGTCATAGACATGAACGCAGATATTTCAAAATTTCCCCTTTTATGGAATATTTTCAGTCACAGCCAAATGAATTCAAAAGTGCACATTTACAAAAAAAACGGTTTAGAAATGACTTAATTTTGGCAGAAAAGTTGAAGCAAATTACCTAAAAATCCCCCCCAAAAAAATATTAGCACATGGTTGCTTAGTTACACTGGTTCCTTAGGTGGTTATTGCTAATAATGACAGAAGGGTTTAATCTTTAACAAACATTCAGAAAAGATGAAAAAAAGGGATATGATGATATCATGTGCTTTTGGATTATTTCTGTCTGCTCTGGTAATTTAGATGTGCATTTATTTAAGTCAGTTTATTTTAATAATTCATATTGTGTTGTGGTGCCACTTGAAGGGATTTAGAATGTTTCAGATTTGACTTCAGGCTGATCAGAACCCGAAAACATGCACACACTTGCCTGAACTCAGCCTTTTTCTTTGAGTTCATATCACGACGAACATCATCCACCAATTTGATTTTTTCTTCAAACTTAATGAAGGTGAAAAAAAGCCTGAAAGGAGGAGCTGGCTAAGGATAAAGGAAAGAAATGGCTCGTCATATTGTCACTGACTCATTCAGAAAGGAAATGACGTCAGCCCTTGTACGCTCTTGACCTCAGCTCAGCTGTGGTTGGCTGGGTTGTTGCCTAGCAATCATGACGAATGATTGAGTCACGCAGAGAGGATGGATGAGGAAGAGAGTGGGTATGTTGGATCATCTAGATTGAGGAGAAAAGGGACAAAAAATACAGAGTATTCAGGGACAAAAAGAATAGAGTGTTTACATTGAGCCTCACATACCTCTGAGGTGCAGCCCTGAGAGATGCTGATGTTCATGTTCGCACAGTAGAAAAATGAGTCGTGACAGGAGATGAGAGGGAAGCGCTGTTCATACTGCCATTGCAATCTTGAGACCTTTTCAGTGACACAAGAGGGCATATATGCGGTCCACTTACATGCTTTTCCCTCTCTTTATCAAAATAGATAGGTGAGTGTATTCAAAGCAACTTTTCATTCCCAAAGGCAGATCCTGATGTGGTCGTGCTTATGTCCCCTTTCCTCTCCTGTTCTGTCCTCCAGGTGGTAGGCAGTATGGACGCCCACCCCAGCAGATACTGTGCCACAGTGCGCGTCCAGAGACCCAGGCAGGAAATAATCGAGGACTTGTCATATATGGTGCGTGAACTGCTCATTCAGTTCTACAAGTCGACCCGCTTCAAGCCCACCAGGATTATTTTCTACAGAGATGGTGTTCCTGAAGGCCAGTTGCCCCAGGTATGTTGGTCGGTATACTTCAATAAATGTAATCTTAATATTTGGCAAGTGTAAATTACTTATTTTTCGTCTTTAGATTCTCCACTATGAGCTGCTGGCCATCAGGGATGCATGCATAAAGTTGGAGAAAGACTATCAGCCTGGAATTACCTACATCGTGGTACAGAAACGCCACCACACGCGCCTCTTCTGTGCCGACAAATCTGAAAGGGTGAGTTTTCTATTTTCCTTTCTTTTCTGGTTTGACTTCTGTCTCCTTTTCGGTAATGAAGGATTTTTGTGTTTTCTTTTACAGATTGGTAAGAGTGGGAACATACCAGCAGGTACTACCGTGGACACCAGCATCACTCATCCATTTGAGTTTGACTTCTACCTGTGCAGCCACGCAGGCATACAGGTAATGAGAACCAAAATAAATAACTTAATGTGTTGGAGGTACTGGCCTTTTTCTGATCTGTATTTTTCCTTAACACCCAGTCCCTTTCAGCCCTGTGTTCAACTGGCTGATCTGTGTTCCTGCTCATATTTAACTTTCTTTGCGTCACCAGGGTACCAGCCGACCGTCTCATTACTACGTCTTATGGGACGACAATCGTTTCACAGCAGACGAGCTGCAGATCCTAACCTACCAGTTGTGCCACACTTATGTTCGTTGTACCCGCTCAGTCTCCATCCCTGCGCCAGCCTACTATGCTCGTCTTGTGGCCTTCCGTGCCCGCTACCACCTGGTAGATAAGGAACATGACAGGTTAGCGTGCTCATGTTTAGATGGTGTCAGGTCACTCCTGTACTGTTATGTGCTGTGGAATATATTCAGCAGATTGTCTTTCCTTAATGATAAATGCGTGTTAAAAAGGAAACAAAACATTTTGACATGAAGTAGTTAGATCTGTAATATTCTGCCACTGACAATTATCAACTTTGCTCGGACAAACTTTTGTGAACTGTATATGGCGTTTGCTAAGTCTTTCCTTTTCCTGTTCTCACCTTACAGTGGAGAGGGCAGCCATGTGTCTGGACAGAGTAACGGTCGGGACCCCCAGGCATTGGCTAAAGCTGTTCAGATTCACCATGACACTCTGAGGACCATGTACTTCGCCTGAACTCCACCAGCCATCGCCTCCATTGTCCCCCTCCCACCTCATTTCTACACGAGTGGGCTGATGCTCGGCTCTCACCTCATCCCCATCCCTTGCTCCCAACAACAGCCCACTACACACCCTCCACAGACCTGCCAGTCAGTCCCTCAAATCCAAGAAACATAAGGCCCTTCTCCTGTATACACAGGCAGACTCTGCAGCCTCATGCACTCAAAAGGTTATGAATATTGTTATTGACTTTCTGTTGTTTTTACTTTACCAGGACGGTTGCTCTTTTTATGTTGAATTTTTAAAATGTGGGTATTTTTGTGTAATTCTATTGTACGCTACCTTCACACTCCTATGTATGTAAGTATGCAATACAGATGGGAGCAAAATAGGCAAAAGAGAGGGGAAAAATACTAGAAACTTTTTTTAACTGCCATCACTATACTGCCTCTTTACCCATCCGAAAGCCGGATGCCAGTGTTTCCAAGCCCCTAAGTATGGGGGTCCTCAAGAGGGGCAGTACTGGGCACACACACTTACACGTATCATTTTAGCGTTGTCGTTCATGTTTTTAATGCTTTTGAATAATGTTATTTTTTTAAAACAGCCTTGAGGAGTCTGAGGTATGGTACATTAGCACTTAGTTAGCATTTAGGTGCCACCGTTCCTGCACATGAAGAGTTTGTAGCGTATGTGAGGCGAGCCCTCTGGTCTTTATATTCTCAGAGACAGAAGGAGCAGGTGTAGCATATCGTAGAGACAGGAGGGAAGTGCTGCTGCACTCTCAGTCCTGGTTGGTCAGTCCCTAGAGATTTAGCCTTTAGAGGCAAGCTTAGTGTAATAGTAGAGGGACCATTTGCATAGAGTGTATCAAATATACTTGCACCCCATGCACCTAAACCAGCATTATTAACCAGCCAAAAGTGATGCCAACCAATGGAAAAGGGGCACTTAAACAGGAGGATAATGTTATTTCTGTAGTTATTGCTCTTTTAGGATTCATGAGGCACTTTCTTTGTACGTCTGGGTTAACTTTACTTCAAAATGGTTACATGAACGTCTAGTGTGACTTGATGCAAACTACTTTGGAGTTTAACACCATCATTTAAATACCTTACTTAGCAGAGGCAAGGTCAGCACTACCCTGTAAATCTGAAAACGGTCTGTGATCACTCACGTTCTGCATTGCTGGACGTGCATTCAGCCACTGATCATGTTTGAATCATTCTGCTCATTTCCACTTGTTTCGGTGGAGATGACGCCACACAGTGCGTTCTGCACTTCCACCCGAGCAATTATTTGCGTACCTCGGCACACCTACTTTCAGCCTCTCCTGTTCTTACACAAAGGTCCTCCCTCTGCAGGCATTTACAACTCAGCCTGGGTAACAAAAGCACACACTCAAAGTATGCCCTCGCTCTTATGGCTATTTCTTAGCACATGGAGACCAACATGCACTTGTCCCCTTATTTTCCCTCAAGCCAAACTCGCTCATCTTTTTCATTTCGTTCTCTCTTTTACCGCCTGTTTTCATGTTTGGCATCACACACACCTGCAGCATCCCCTGCCCCAATCCCCTGGCTTGTGTTAGCCAATCCCTATTGGTGCTGTGTGTGCATGGGCGGCACAAGTAGGGGATTGCTACATTGGGTAGGATGGGCCTTTTCACTACAACTCAACGCGCCCTGCTTTTACATCAAGATAATATCTCGATTTATGGAAAAACTGCATGTAGTTATTATTTTTTTAATGACTGGATATTCTGAGCCACCTTACTTTGGTCTTCTTAGAGGTAGGAGCTGTGCGCTCACCACTGCCTGTCAAATGTTTTTGCCTCAATTGTGCAACGGTTGTCAAGATGGCGTTTTCTTTTTCATTATTATCAATATTGTGACTATTGTTGAAGTGTTTCCTCAAGAGGGCACTGTAGAGACGGTCTCAAAATCCCACCTCAGTTGCCCTTAAAGCGCCTCAAATCTTGTCTGATGGTCAGCGCCCCTTAAAGCTGAAAGGGATTGGAAAATAAGTGATCAGATGAGTTTGATTTTTAAATCATGTTATTGAACTTGCATAATCAGAATGCCTTTGTACACCGTTTTACTGATCCTTCATTGTGTCCAAGGTGATTTGTATATATAAATATGTAATATTTACCTGTTATGTATTTTGGCCCAACAGATGCCGGGCCTTTCACATTTGGGGCCGGTGTTCTACTTCTCGTTCTGTGCTAAACAAAAAAAAATCAGTCTGGGGCATTTCCCAGTACCACTGAAACCAGATGCAGTTCTTCACTCACTGAAGCCACAAAAGCACCTTGCAAAGGGAGACGCCAAATTACAGTCACCCTAGAAATGTATCGTGGACACAGGAGAGCCCATTCCACTCCACACAGCCTCACGGTCTGACTAAGCAATATTGAAGCCACTGATCAAGAACAGTCCTTGTCATAGCACTTCCCAATAGATTTGAATGAAAGGACATGGAAGCATATTACTTTGGCTCTGTGTGTGATAGTATGGGAACTCTGTTGGGGAGGGTTATTTTTTAAAGAAAATAAAATTGTTTTTTATTACTCTTGTTGTTTTGTTAATAGCTTGTAGTTTAAGTCTTTTTTTTTGCCTCCAGAGGAAAAAAAATCATCCCAATATAACGGAATTGGTCTATTAGCCTATGTGTTTCTGAAGAAGGTGCGATAATTCAAACCTGCAGCTTTCTGCCTGCCCTGTCTACAAATTAATCTGATGAATGATTGTCTTAAGAAAAAAAGAAAGAAAAGAAAATCCACTGATTAATTCATAAACGGAGGATTACCTATGTCTGAAGGCGGAGTTGATAGTTCTGACGTCTGGTGTCACAGAGCCCACCTCTTCCTGTCGGTGTCAGAAAGGCAACTTCACCATATTTAGCTGGCTTGCCGAAGCCCTGCAGAGTTGATCTGTCAACCAGCCTGGAAATCTTGACACTTATCGGCAGGTCCAATACGGTCTTGACAGCTTTTTTTCGCCCACCCGGATACAACTTACGGAGGCCGGCGTCGTTGGGATACGGTGCTGGAGAACGGGGTCGGTTTTAACAGCCGCTTTTAACGCCATAAAAGTAGCCCGTCGTCTGTTAGAAATTCAACTATCATTCGCGCTAGCCAGCTAGCTAATTACTGTAGCGCCTCCGACGTACGCTTTCCCGCAGATAACACATTTATGCCGCCCTTGTTAATATTCATCCATCGGTAGGAATGTGTTTGGACTCCACGACCCCGCTGAGATGATATCCTGACAGCCCCTCTCGTCTGTTCCAGCCACTTTCCTAACCCTGGCTAGCGAGCTAACTTGGCTAACTAGCGGGTTTTCGTTGCTACAGCGCCGTTGGCCAGCAGCGGTTCTCCGTCGTGGCGCTGACATCCGAATTCATACTCCGGCCGAGTGCAAACGGCACTTAGAGGGGTCGCTGAAGACCAGCGGCCGTACGTAAGGACCCCCCTTTTGACAAGACACACACACGGAAAAGGGATTTGTGGGGGGTCGGGGGAGGCTCCGGAGCCCGGGACACGCAGCACCGGTGAGGGGCTGTAACTCGTGAGGAGACGCCGGAGTTGACGGAGGAGTCCCCAACCGTTTGACATCTGTGATCCGGGAAGTGAACCGGGCAGGGACCTCATGAATGGAAATCGGAACTACAGGTAATTTATCCGACAGCATCTTGGTCGGTCGCTGACAGCCTGAAAGTAGACGTTTTTTCCCCCTTTGGTGTAGTGTTGCTACTGAGATGAAACAGCGGTGTAACATCAGATTGGGGATATTATTCACCAACCGGTGTGTATTTTTATGGTCTCACAGCGTCTTGACTCGTGTTTTGATAGTTTTTCCTGAACATGCTCGTTTAAAATGTTGTGATAATACCACCTGTCATACCTGTGAGACAGATTTTAGGCTTTTATAGTAAACCTGTGATGCTTTACGTTAGCAGAGAGCTGCTCCATCAAATCCAGCATGGCTGGTCACTTGAGAACATGTGACACAGGGTGACCCTCCTCTCAAGGTTCCCTGGGTCTTAGCTGCTGTGGACCCCTGCCTGACCTCTGCATATTTGGCCCTGAGGATGGCATTTGACTCAAGCGCACAGTTGGTACTGAAAACATGAGCCTGCTTTGTCATGCTTAAATGGTGAGGAGAGTTAAACGTCATATAAACATTTTTTCTTTCTTTCTGCGGGGTGACGCATGTTTCGTGGTCTTGCCAGCTAAACAGTCTGAACCACATAGCTTTGTCTCAGGTGTAATGGAAGCTTTCCACTTATGTGACCATAACCTGAATGTTTGCCTTTCTTGATTAGCCGGTGACACCTGATACAGCAGTTGGTTTTCAGGCCACTTACTCCTTGGGATGAGGAGATCCCTCTCTGCTGCCGGTTCTCTCGTACTCGTGTGTCAGTTCCTCTCAGGTGGGACTCTTCCCAGCATGAATAGCGAAAGGGGCCACAAGGTGCTTTCCCAGCAACTCAGCACCTATAACCAATATCCGACTAATGCACACATGTGAGCACACTCACAGTGTGTAACCTGGAATTAGCTTGGCATTTCCTCGACGTTTTACCAATCATTGACCTCACCGTCCATCCAAACAGGATGCCAGATGGGTCATTTGTGTAGCATTATTTGGAGGAATAAAACTAATGTGTAACAGCCCTGTAACTTTGATATATATCTGTTTTACTACTTCTGAGGAATTTTCTCCAAACAAATACCCCTCACGCTCCTCAATCAGTCTGGAACCCTCAAAGGAAAAACGATAAAAGAAGGCCTAGACACTGTCTGTCATTTTGCTCAATGCACTCTGAGGACACAGCACACGCAGCTTTGCACAGGATGTACAGCTAAACAGCTTTACATTAGGAGTGTTAAGATTAAGATTGATGCTTTAGAAGACATGAATGCATTAATGGAGACAGACAGGGGCAGGTTTGACTCTATGATGTGTGGCGGTCTAGATATTAGTTGTGTGTGTTTGTTGGTTAGCAGTCCCATATCTAACTGCCACGGGCCAGCCAGTGAGCCCTACGCTTGAGTAAATGATTAAAAGGGGGCCCTCCATTAGTCAGGCAGTGGCATAGAGAGCGGTGTGAGAAAATGCAAATTGATTGGTCAGCCCGCTTAGCAACTGACAATCCCTCTTCTCCCCGGAACCAGTCTGAGAAGCAGCATATGTGGCAGCGAAACCATGACTCTCAGGAGCTTAGCGACGCCAGTATATGGAGGGAAAGGCGTTTAGGCATTAAACAAATAAAATCAATTTGATGTGCTAACCTCAAAGCAGCACACAAGCAGCTCGGCACCTGGTACCGGTCTAAAGTTAGTGAAGTCTGAAAGACGGAAAAAAGGGGGAACATCGCCTGATCACCTTTTGTACATGTTGAGCTTCAGGAGTTGAGCTTCAGAAAGTGGTGTGTGTATGTGTGTGTGGAGCCCCATAATGAGATGCCATTAACACTTAAGGTGTGCTCGGCTTAGCTAGAACCAATCAGTTTTTTATTTATTTTCTAATGATTTCCAAGTTAACATTTCTGGAGGCTTCTCTACAATTACAGCCTTCAATCAAATGTTTGCATTGACATTTGTAATTGAGCTATTTTTGCCATCTCGTTTGCTGGGTACTCTTAAAATGAATGTTTGGCCATATGGGAAGTCTGCTAATTATCTTTCTATTAATTAGATTTTTACTGGGATATCTGAACCTGTAGTTTTTAAACTTTTAGCACCATGAGCAAATTGGATAAAAAATTATCTTATTTTACTCACTTGTTTATTAATTTAGGTAAAACCGTCTTTGCACTAACACTCGCCTGCTTCACTGAGACAGGCGGCTTACTGGAGGACGGTTAGATGGCCAGTAGAAAACAGGAGGAAGGGGCTTCCCACCCTCTACTCTCCACCTGTCACACTTTAGCCAGGTGGGATCTGAGTTGGCTGGTGATGACTCAGCTCTGTGTCAGAGACCACTCGGCTGGAAGTGGCTTTTTTCTTCCATTTAAAACATAAAATAATTCTACATAATTTGCCTTTTAAAAGAAGGAAAACATGAGAGAGGATTACTGTTTGAGTGATCGTTTTCTCTTTCTTCGTCTACCAGTTCTTACTCCTATCTTTTTTTCCTCCTCTCCCATACACTTCTGAGATTCCCGCTCTTTTTTTTTCTTTTTTCTTTATTCGGTTACCACCCTTGACCCTCCTTTCTCTTCCTTGGTTACGGCTTCTGTTCCCTCTCTGTGCCCCAGTGGGAAACACTGCCTTCCCAGTCATTCTTCTTGTAGGTTGATTTTCGGTGAATTTTGCACAGACAGTAGGATCTGCTTTGAGGGAGGGCTTAGTACTTGATTTGCAGTCTTGCTCAGTTCATTCAAGCAGCCCGGTGACAATGGACTGGCCCCCGTCTGCAATCCCAGCCACCCATAAGGCTATCCTTTGGCATTTAGTCGTTGGTTTCTATGGAGAGTGCGCTTTGTTGTTGCTCCTTTGCTGGCTGTTTTATAGGGGAGTGTATGGTTTGTGTTTCCCTTGATCTGATCTCATTTAGGAAAATTCAATTACCAATTATCTAATTTTTCATTTGTACATCAGTTGGCATAGGATCTCACAGATATTGTCAAAAACGCTGAAACAGAAAAAGTGTTAGTCTGAAGGATTTTTGGTATGCTCTGGTTCTTCTTTTCACATCTGTAAATATAATATATGTTGGATTATATTCAGCCAATGCTGGTACCGTTTTTTTTTTTTTTTTGTTTTACATCCACTTTCTGACCTTGCTTCCATAAATAAAAAGAGAGAAGTGCTGTTTAACTTAGCCTCTAGTGTTTTTGACCCAACTGAAAGAAGGAAAAAACGATCCCACACATGCCCCGTACTGGCCATCTAAAACATTTTATATTGTATTTTTAAACCTTTAACCCAGTAGGGAATACATTTTCACATCCTCAGTTTAAGGTCTTACTCATTTGTCAAAGTAGACTTGGGGGTTGCTCGGACTGACTCATGTGTGGTGTTTACAACGCAGTCCAAGTGGGTTGAGCGGCGGTAAAAATCAAGGGGTGTGTGTGTGTGTGTTGGCAGAGGAGGAATGCTGAAGTTTCTGATGTGTCACATTGTTTCAAGCCAGAGCAGCCAGACCACGCTTCTTTTCCACCTCCTCCTCTCTCTGCCTTTTCCTTTTCCTGAGACATGTTTTCAGGGGGAGCTGCAAGGGGCTCATTTTTGGGGGGGAGGCTACGGACAGGAAGAGAGGGGACCTGGAAGGGGAAGTCAGTGGGTTTTGTTTTGAGCCCCTGGAACACAGACGCATATCATCAGTTAAATACGTTTGGCTGAATTTCTTCACATTCAATGGCCCCGCACAAGTTTAAAAATAATTAAATGAATAAATTTCTTCGCAAGAATTAATTTTTTCTCGGCTCATGTAACAGAAATGTAGGCGTGTTCGCAACTTTGAGTGAGGGGTACATATTTTGTATCATCACATTTTAGCCTCATCTTAAGTTTACTGTGTACCTAAACAGTTTTTAAGTGTTTTTTTTGGTTAATACAATGGTAATATAGCTTTGAAAATATAATTGAAGCACAAATTCAGGCTGAAAAAAGCTGTACATGTATGTATGAAAAATCATGAAATGTAATCATTTACTTTATTTTGAAAAGACAGCCCCACTGGCTCCTTCCTGTCTGCTGAGCTACAGCTGGTCGCTGGCTGTAGGAAAACTACAACGACAGTCCGGAGTAGAGGGAGCAAAAGATAGGTACATAAGTAAGGGATGTTAAAACTCAGTTTGAAATGGCCACAATGATTACCCCCCCCCCCCCTCTTATCCCACCACCACGATTAAAAAAAAAAAAATCCTACAGGAAACGCTGTGGCATGCAAACCCTCAGAGTGACAGGGCCCTCATCCTGCCTATGTCAACATCTAAAAGTCAACAACCCGTAGCCCCCATTCGCCGTTCCACTCTGGCTGGGCGACCAAGACATAGGTTTCATTTAGCCTGCCTCAGTCAAATCTTCTGGCGTGTGTAAGAGACGGTGCTCTGTCTGAATGACTAGGACCTAGATGTGTGTGTTTTTACCATCAGTCGCCTACCAGTCAGATATCCGGGCCTTCCCTTACACCACTGAGTCAGAACTGGTTTCTCGCTACAGATGATTCTTTGTCCCCCTCCAAATACCCCCACCCCCCATTTTTTTTTGCTGAGAATATTTGTCATGTTGACTCCTTTGCTCTCACTCCACCCGGGGTTTGGCTTCAGGGGGATTTCAACATGTTTGCATCTTGTGAGCCACCGTGCCCCCCCCCCCCCCACCCCGTCGGGTTGTGGGGGCCCCCCTGCCGGCGGGGGTTTTTCTGTCGTAGGGTGGCAGGGACTCCGCCGGCTGCCAGATGCAGTACTCTCTCGAGGTTGAAGAGGGGAGTTGGAGGGAGGAGTCCTATCGTGTGTGTGTGTGTGACTTGCATGCGTCCTTCCTCGCCAGCTTTCAGTCTCTCTGTGTACGTCTGAGTGTGTGTGTGCGTGTGTTTGGAGGCTCTGCCTGCTGTGACTGAGGCTATTGTGCCTTGCCACTGAGCACTCGCCCTGTTCCCACAGCTCAGGCCTCCCTGGATTAGAAACACAACAGCTGTATTGTGTGTGTGTGTGTGTGTGTGTGTTTGTGTGTGTGTGTGTGTGTGTGGGGGGGCATGTGCACACGCTTGCAGCGTGGACATTTGTGTATCAGAGGGGACGTGGCTGAGGGGGTTTGCAGCAACTGGGTAGCTTCTCACCACGCAGTTTGCCTGGCTGGCAGCCCACTGCGTACAGTGTGGCTGTGTTGTGTTGCGGAGCGGTGGAGTGGAATGAGTTCACATCGCTCAAATGTTTCTTGCTAAATATTTATGTGCGAAGAACGGCATATCAATTATTGTTGGGCTTATATAACGTGGGTTGGACTTAATCGTACCATGTGCACTCCTGCATAACGGCAAAGCTCCAGTACATAATTAGCTAAAATAAATATTCAGTTGCCCATGTTTTAATACATTTACATACAGAAGCAAAGCTAATCATACCAGCTGCTGTTGTATATTTGAAAAACGACGATTGAAGGTGTGTGTTATTAACAGTAAAAGCACTCTTGTTTCGCAGCCAGACCAGGATCAGATTAAACACGCTCGGTCTGATAAACTCATGAGGTACATTTACAGCCTGAACTCTGGCTCAGGTTAAGTGTGTATGAGCTAGATGTGAATGTTGTGCACGTGCATCAGTCAGCTGACCTGCTGTAGCATTAATGTAAGCAGTTTGAAACTTTTCCAAAGCCGAACAGTCTAAAACAGATGACAACTGAAGCTCTGAATTAAAAAAAAAAAAAAAACATGTTAGTATTTGGAGAAAAATGTTGCCGGGTTCATCAGAGTTGGATTGATAATGAATACTTGCAGCAAAGTCAAGCTGCTGTGAGAACAGCGCATAAAACATCGGGTCCAGCTGACCACGGCGAGGAAGCTGTCAACAGTTAAGAACTCTGTGTGGAACCCAAACGACTGTTTTCGGCGGGCATGTCTCTTCAAAGCTGAACACAAGTCAAATGAAATGGCACGTTGGTCAGACTGGGACAACTTCCTCAGTTCATGTGTTGAAAGGGCCTTGGGAAGGATTCCAGCCCCCTACCCCCTTTGTTCCCAGTGTGTTCCTCACATGGAAGTTAAGTTGGACCAAAAAGTATCCGTTGAATGGTTGCGTTTCAGTCCTTGATTCGGACTTCTGAATTAAAACATTCCAGTTAGATGGACATCCACAGTTGGCCCCACCGGTCCATATTTAAAGAACTGCTAGTTTCACCCAAACAGTGGACTTGATCTGTGCTCGGTTAAAGGCTCACTGTTGCTCTTATAATCTGCAGACTGGGTGACAGACAAGCAAAGATTTAATCTGCTCGCCTCAGTTTTGGCATGTCCTTCCTGTAATTATCCAAAAGTGCCCTGGCATGTGTACACCGCAGCCATTCTCCACTAAAGCCTCCAACACGCTGGCCGTGTGACGAGCAGATGAGTGGCAAATGTGCAGATTTATGGTAGGGATCCAGCATTTGGAGCAGCCTGCTTTGATATGCCATCCAGTGGCCGCAGACATCATGCTTGGCCTACATGTCGGTCTTTAAGTGTTTGATCAAGCCTGGGTGTCAGTTTGAGGGTCTCGTATTTAAGCAATCTGAAGCTGACGACGTGCACGAATCTAAATTGTCGGGGCGTTCTCCTACAGGGATGTCAGGACGGCGCTCTGCTGGAGGCAGTGGGGTATCTGGATAAAATCTGGATAAAGCTTGGATCAGAAGTGCACTGTTCATTCCAAGTTTTAGCTGTGAAATCTGCCTCCTGAACCCCCCCTCCCCTCCCCTCCCCTCCAGCCACACTGAATAATTACATTTATTTAGTTTCTCTGTAAAGGAAGACGGAGCAGAGTTATCTGATGTGCTGCTGAATCATCAAGGCCAGATCGGCTGTTCATGAATGCTGCAGCACGCTCCTGTGTGACACACTTGGTGGAGATTCAGCTCGCTGCCTCCTGCGTGCGTGATGTCGAGGCTCCCATCTGTGTTGACGGGCTTCAGTGGGTTTTCTTTTAGCTTCGGGTTTTTTGTTTATAATGATCCTATGTTTATCGTCCTTTATTGTTTCTCAGTTCAGTTCGTGCTTAGGCCCATCTTCAGTCAGAGATATTTCCCCCAGTGGAAAGGTGTCCTTGAAGAAAATGTTGGCTGTGTTGAGGGAACTGAGTAGACCAAACATCTCAGAACCTATTGTGTGCAGGATCTGCAGGAAGCCAAACAATGCAGCGGAAGCTCGGCCAAATGGGGCTTTTTAAATTTTTTGTGTCTAAAGCTATACAAGTTGTTTGTTTTTTGTGACACTTTACATCAGGTCAGATTAGCATAGCGACTGCAGGTGGTAGGTTACTATTGATTTCAGGAGCAATTTGTATGAATGTGAAAGTAAACAAGCAATGCGAGTGGTTATGCGAACTGCTAAAAATAGCAACTCTCTGATGGTAACTCTGCATAAAGAACAATCAAGTGTGCCTGTACAGTACCAGCGCAACACATTACGGTACGGCTCTGCGTGGTTTTCCCTTTAGGGTGTCTGCACTGGTGGGTGGAATATCGGTACTGGCTGTGTTTTTTCTTTACATTTTTTTTTATTCATATAGAGTATTGGGTTTCTTTACTCTGCGTAAAGCCCATTATTGCTACTGTGTGGGATCCATGTCTTGGGCCGGATGCTCCGGGATGGGTTTTCTCTGACTTTGGTGGTGTTTCTGTGACTCACCGTTGAATTTAGGCCAGTTCCAAAAGGCGGATGAAAGCTGCAAAGTACAAGCCCTTCCCAGTCTGTTATCCCGCCACTCCCTGTTATCCTGGTCCTGCCTGCCAACTTAACCAGAACCGTCTCATCTAAGAAGGGGAAAAAAAACACATAGCCGGCTGCTGGTGGAGCAGAGCCATTTTAATGTTCCTAAATGGGCAGATTTTTGGGACTCCTCATAATGGGCAGATTTTCAATAATAATTGACAGCAATATTCATGTTCTTTCTCCGTGGCTTGAATTGGCCACACCTCACACCAAACAGCCACAACAGAGTTGCCATAAAAGATAGTGCTCGTAGTTTTGATTGACATAGACAGCTGTGGCAGAAATACCAGACGTTCCTCTTTTTCTTTTCAGCACTATTACCCCAACGGGGGAATTCTTACAGGAGGCTTTTAACCATCAGCCCAGTTACACCTTAGCTAACCCTAACCCACCAAAGGAGAAACCTTCCAGGTGTAAATAAACAAGCCTTTATTGTTTACCATTAGGCCACCTCACATAAGGTTTCTGTTTTGTAAAGAGCAGTTTTTTCTGAACTTCCCCTCTGAGAAGCGCTCAACCCCAACTTCACCCACACATATGTACCCATGAGTCAAGTTGGAGTTAAATCAAACACTCCAGCGTGACTTTCATTTATTGGTGACACATTAGGGACAGTTTTTTTTAAATGGAGCCGTCGCGAGGCAGATGAAGAAGTTTCACTTGGACTATTTTGATGCATAAGTCTGTTTTGCTTCATATCATCAGAATGCAAATGAAGTGTAGGCCTAAAAGTGAGACATTTGTTTTCTCTGTTGGAACATGGAAAATCCACAGCAGACCCAAAAATAGCCCCAACATGAGTGTGCCGCACTATGTTGAAACCCCCTGTTTCTGGATAAAAGTGACTCATGCGTGAGACACGGTGTGGTCTCTGGGACTGTGGGCACGTGCAGTTTTTGTACACATATATAAACTTTGTCAGCACGCATTGATCTTTGTGCTTTCATTACGCATACAACAAAGTGACATTTCTCAAGTACAGCTGTGTCACCAGAGGGGGGTCTCCCACACGATGCTCTGACTTTTAAACTGGTTTTCAACTTGTAAAGTCTGATCAGAAGTTCTCTCATTTACCACGCTGATGATTGGCTGTTTTTTGGTTCTGTTTTTTTTTGGGGGTGTTTGACGTGTGGTCGGGCAATTTTCAGGCAATTCATCGTGTGAGATTTGCCATCAGGTCGAGCAGTGGGGGCAATCACTCTGAACGGGTTTCCAGAATAGTGAATAAACTCTGTATGAAGTTAATGTGAGGTTTAACTGTGTTGGACGCCTCCTGATTCACATCCACATGAAACTTTTAAGTGCTTGTGGCATGAAAGTCAGACTTTGTGCGCCTTGAAACACTCACGATGATAAAGGTCAAAGGATTTAAAATATATTTTAAAGATTAATGTTTTCATTTTGAGAATACGTATTCAAATTAATATTTTAAAGATCAATCTCAGTTGTTTAGTTCAAATTCAATACAAAGACTTGGATTCTTGTATATGAATGTTTGTTTATTTATGTTTTTGGTCATTTCTTTATGCAGAAATGTATCTTAACATTTGCAATATTCTTAAAATTTGATTAGTTTTTATATTTGTAGTTGGGTATTACAGGGTTGCTGAAATGAAGATATGAAGATAGAATTCTCTTATGTTATTCAAAGTAATGTAATTTATCAAATTGAAGAAAGATGTATTAATAATTTATCCACAGTAATACAGGTTCTGCGATGAACACTTCCAGTCGGCTGACGTTTATTTTATTTTTTTTTAGCTTGGATTAGATCCACACAGGAGCTTTTTATTCACCTTTCTTTCCGTTTTCTCCTTTCAGGAGCCGTTGGGGCCCAGGCCCTGTTCTCTATGCCTCGGCGGCCTGGCTATGGCACCATGGGGAAGCCAATCAAGCTGCTGGCCAACTGCTTCCAGGTGGAGATCCCAAAGATGGATGTCTACCTTTACGAGGTGGACATCAAGCCTGACAAGTGCCCTCGTCGGGTCAACAGGTAGGAAGGCTGCTGTGATGTGGATATCCCCGAAACAAAATATTAAGCCGCTTTTTTCGTGTAAGAGCACAAGATTTCAGTGACCTCCCAAAGGATTCAGAGGCTCTTACCGTAGATCTGATTGATTGTTATGACGGTGTAAATATTAATGACTTTGCTGTAACTGATGAGAAGTTTAACTGCTTGTTTGCAGGGAGGTGGTTGACTCTATGGTGCAGCACTTCAAGGTGACAATCTTTGGGGATCGCCGGCCAGTCTACGATGGAAAGAAGAGTCTGTACACAGCCAACCCACTGCCTGTGGCACCCACAGGGGTGAGCAGGACGATTAAAAAACCCCCCACAAACATTCTTTTTCAGTGTATCCTGAATGTAAACCGCTTTACAATATCAGATGCTTCTCAGCTGAAGTAAAAAACACTCCATGTACTTCTCTACCTATCCAGAGAAACAACCAACCCTAAAATGCTCTTTGTCTTGTCCCACAGGTGGACCTTGATGTCACTCTTCCAGGCGAAGGGGGGAAAGATCGGCCCTTTAAAGTCTCCATTAAGTTTGTGTCTCTGGTCAGCTGGCACATGCTCCACGAGGTGCTGACCGGCCGCAGCATGCCTGAGCCCCTGGAACTGGACAAGCCCATCAGCACCAACCCCGTTCACGCTGTGGATGTGGTGCTGCGACACCTGCCCTCCATGAAGTGAGCCGCCGGGTTTTTCATTAGTCACACGGTTCCTGGGATCTTTGAAAGCATGTTTTTTGTTTTGTTGTTAAAAGTTACTTTACAAACGGCTAATCCACTCCTAAAGACATAATTCACTTATCCTTACTGACCCTTTTCTCCCCACAATAAGGTCAGAGGACAGAGAAAACTCACTATTGACTTGTGTCTAAATGTGTTGCCATAGTGACACAAATATCGGCAATCTGGTCCAGACGGAAATCAAACACGTGATACATGGGCTCCCTCAGATCACCACACCAGCTTCGACTCAATATCGCTTCCAAAGGCAGAGGACGCAGTCCGACCCAATATTGCCAGAGCTGTAATGAAAATCTCTTTCAAGGCGTTATCATAAGGTGGTTTTATCAGCACCTTTCATTTAGCTGCGCTCACAGGTGCCGGAGGCTCGGTATTACGCTGATGTCTTGACAGACCTTCTTTTTTGTTTCTGATTCAGAAATAAAATGTGGCCTACATGCAGGCATTAATGTATCTTTTGTGAGGGGTGATAAGGGGTTGATGGGCCTGGGCATGGTCTCCACCCTCTCATTTCCCTGAAGTGGTCTGAGGAGCAGCTGAATGTGACCAAGCTCAAACATGTTTTGACCTACATTCAGGATGCCATTTCCTTGTCATTTCCTGCTCGTGCTCTCCCTCTTTGTCTTTTTGAAAATTCACAATAATGAACTTGATTGATAATTCCACCATTTCTCCATCTAGGTACACTCCCGTGGGCCGATCCTTCTTCTCTGCTCCAGAGGGCTACGACCATCCTCTGGGAGGTGGAAGGGAGGTTTGGTTTGGCTTCCATCAATCTGTGCGTCCTGCCATGTGGAAGATGATGCTTAACATTGATGGTGAGAAACGGCTGCGTGAAACCCTGAATGAGAAGCAGTTAACCAGTTTGGAATCCATGTTTAAAAAAAAAAAATCTCTCTGCATAACTCACAATGCTTTTTCTGGGACTTCAGTCTTTGTTTGAAATGACGACGAAAGAGCTCTTGTGTGAGGAGACACAGAAATGGATTTCCCCATTCCTCTGTCAGAGCTGAGGAAATTAGATTTGAATAATTAAACAGATAATTAGAATCACAGAGCCTCTATTATACTAACCCCCTTTTACAGATTTGCACATGACCAGTTGCCTTGTACTGACGTTTCCTTAAAAAAATCTCTATTGAACATAAATCTAAAGTTGCCCCTCTGAAGAGACCAGCATAGCTTGACCAGCACCAAGATGTGCAGGCCTGTCATTACGGAGGCTATTTGCTATAAATGTTTATGTATTCTGTAGGTTAAGCTCCAGACCACCTGATTTAATGTTTTCGGTGAGGCTGAAAAAAGAGATTCAGACCAGGTGTAAATTCTATCCTCTGAATATTACTCTCTATCATTTTCTTTAAATATAAGTTAGGTGGACAGAATGTGCTTTGCGGTATAAGTGCTGCTACTTTGAGAAGAGAAAGTGTGTATGTGTGTGTGAACATGCCAGAGACATGGAGGAAGGTGGCCTTTTTATCTGATGTGAACCGTTGCTGTGGAGATGGGGGAGACATGAGTGTGTGTGTGTGTGTTTGTGCGCGCTGTGGCCGTGGTGGCAGAGACTGGTGGGTGTTGCCGGGTCAGGAGCGCGGGGCCCTTCCTTCACTCAGCTTTTGTGCTGCTCAGAGTGCTTTAAGCGTCCGTCTGTTTTGGAGTCTGTAGAACGTCTCCACTCCCTGATTATCTCTTTGTCTGGTTTTCCCGCTCTTCAGTCGGCTCCCAGAAATTCACCAACTAGTACAACGTGTACTGGCAACGTTATCCAGCCAATAAGACTTTTTCAAACTCACTCTCAACAAAACCTTCTTCTCACTCCCTGTGTCACGGGTATTTTAAAGCCATGCATCAGAGAATTGTGATTTCAGAAAAATTAGAAGGAAAGGAAACTGCTTCATGTGAAGGATTGTTTCATGGTGAAAAATCAAAGTCCCGTGTGTCCTCTATCTTCTTGCTCTGCATCACTTGCGGATGTGCATTTGCATTGCTTACAAAGGGGGTGAAAGCCTTTTTGAACATTAATTTATTTATTTTTCTTGTAACGTCTCAGCGGCCGAGGTGGATCATTCATCCATTGATCTCAGATATTCTCAACTATCCATTTTCCTCCTCTCTATTTTTGGATTTGGGTTGAAAAGGAATATTGTTACAATAGTACTAGTTCTTTCCCCAAAAATTGAATATCTTTTACATGCTACCCAACATGTTTTAATGTCTCTGTGCTCTGCATCTGTATCTGGGCGATGTTTCCCCCCTGGATCTAGCGTTTCTACTACATCCTTTTATTAATGCAAGCTTATTTTCTGAAGATAAAAAAAACTTCACTGAGTCATGCCTATCTGGTATCCATTGAACATGGTTTGGAGCTACTTATCTGTGCGAGAATTATAGTGAGGGGATTTATTCTGGATTTATATCAGAAGAGACTGTGTGAAGTGTGTCGCTCCTAGACTCAACATGAGCCTGAGTGTGTGGCAAAATTTGTGAGTAACGCAACATGTGATCCCACAGAACGATGCAGGGGGAGTTGTAATAACAGTCTATAATCATACTTGACTTCAATTTCCCCCACAAAATCCCACAAATCTAAACTTCATCCCGGTCTTTTCAGGCAGACTTTGGTGATGCTATGTATTTTTTTTTTGTTTTCCTTAGTGACACCTGTTCATTCTTTTCTTTTACAGTCTCTGCCACAGCCTTCTACAAAGCCCAGCCAGTTATCCAGTTCATGTGTGAGGTTCTGGACATCCACAACATAGACGAGCAGCCTCGCCCTCTCACAGACTCTCACCGGGTCAAATTCACCAAAGAAATCAAAGGTGAAGCCGGGATTGAAAGTGTTCCTGCTTATGGGGGTCGAGCTCCGATTAATGGAAGTGTGCATGTGGAGCAGCCGTTTGAGCGGCCCAATTTGAGCACATCCCAGGCATGTAAACGTCACTTTAATTCTCCAGGTTTGAAGGTGGAGGTGACGCACTGTGGAACCATGCGGAGGAAGTACCGTGTTTGCAACGTGACCCGTCGGCCTGCCAGCCATCAAACGTGAGTCACCCTCTGGGCACGCGAGAGAACAGGAGCCTCCTGGCTGAGGGTGTGGACGGGAAGGGGAGCAGCAGGCACGCACCGAAAGAGGACGCGATCACCAATTCACCAAACGCACCAGATAGTGGCTGATTCATCCCACAGCCATGAGGCCAGCATTAGTCATCCACGCTGAAGTAGCGTTTGGCTGCTGCTCCTCAGTGTGTTGGAGCAGAGTTCTGTTTTTGTCATTTACATTCAGGGATCTTACAAACCTTGGGCCACAATTGCAGAGCTGTACTAATCAAAGTGACTTCTCTTAGGCTGAAAATGTCAATGGATCAGTTCACTGTCAGTCTTTATCTTTTGTCGTCTGTCTGCATCAAGCTGACATTTCTTTGAATAATGTAGCTACACTTCAAGCATAGACGGAGAGAATGAGGATATGGTGTGCCACTTTGTCTCTGTATTCTCTGTATAAAGTCAGTAAGCCTAGTCCATGTTTAATGAGTATTATTACATTTTTTTTTAAAGTTTAGCATTTAACAACATCATATGCCACCACCCTACTTTTTGTTAGCTGCTTTTTTGTTTTATTTTATGGAACAAATTGGGATAAAGGGAAGCTAAAGGGGCTTAGTTTGAACTTTTTAAAAACCTTTTTCTTTTTTACTTTGCAGGTTCCCTCTGCAGCTAGAGAATGGTCAGACTGTAGAACGTACAGTAGCCCAGTATTTCAGGGAGAAGTACAACCTGCAGCTCAAATACCCACATTTGCCCTGTCTACAAGTGGGCCAGGAGCAAAAGCACACCTACCTGCCCCTCGAGGTGAGAAGAAAACAAGCCGCTCTAGAGCACTGTAAAGACTCCTCAGATAAACCGTTTCATCAGGCCACCAGCTGGGTGATATTTTGGGATTACCTGTGGGGGTGAGGGGACGGCTGGAGAAACCCTAACCTTTTGGTTCGTTGCAGGTTTGTAACATTGTAGCTGGTCAACGGTGCATTAAGAAGCTGACAGATAATCAGACCTCCACGATGATAAAAGCCACAGCTCGCTCTGCACCTGACAGACAGGAGGAGATCAGCAGGCTGGTGAGTTCCTCATCGTGGTGTGCAGACACTGGGGTTGACACGTTTTTAAATACACAAAAGGGATTTTTGTAAAAGATTGTGCTTTCATATCCATTTTAGCAATATTAGTACCATAGTGCCAAACAGTGATTTAAGGCTGTATTGTATTAGTTAAGGTGGTACCATTTTGTGATTTGCTTATTTGGGGTGGAGGGATAAGGAGGAATAGTGTGGTAAATTTAATTATTTAACTTTTTTTTGGGTTTGTTTAAATTATGAATGTGGCGTAACAACAAAATAAAACAGTCTTAAGCTCAGAGAAATGGATAAAAAGCCAAATATGTCCACTAAATGAAAAATTGAGTACAATAAGGTCCCCCTGCGCAAAGAAACTTTGCCAAATGTTGTAAATGTATCAAATAGAACAACTCGCTGTCTGAGCTGCAGCAGGTGAGGCTGATGTGAAAAGTTCATGATGTCAAATCTTTGCTGAGCTGATCATTGTTACATCAAATTGCTGGTTTTATATGACCTCACCTCTCCTTCTGTCTCATTTTCTGTTATTAACAGATGTACGTCTCTGTGCCTCTCCATCACATTTAATTATACTACAGGCCTGCCTCGGGTCAACAAAATGCCACAGCCGTAATGGCTTTAATGTGAATCTGCCTCAGTGTCTGCACCGTCTTGTTTTGTTTTTTTTCAGAGACAGACCAACTGCATGCTCTCCGCCTCTGGCGAACATCAGATTAGCGGCACACATTTCATACCTGTTGTTACCTAATTAAACTCTGTATCTTATCACTAAGAAGCAAATGGGTGGGTTGTGGGTGTGCGTACAAGTAATCACTGTCGCATCACTGTGCTGACTGTGCTGGTGTTTTCATGCACCGCAGGCTGAAACTGACAGGACAATGTGGGTGGAAAACGAGATGATAGGCTGTCAGTCATGACCACATAATGAAATCTGAAATGCACTTTCGATGCCGTGCTGGTGAGGCTGACACCTGGCATTTGGCAGAAAGTCTGTGATCTACAGATATCCCATCTTTGACAGTCAGGCCAAAAACGGAAAACAGTAAAAATGTCCCAAACCAATAACCTGATTAACAGAGAGTGCCTTTTTCAGTGTACTTGATCTGTGACTCCAGCCTCACCCTGTGTCTCTCCCTCTCTCTCTCTCTCTCGCCCGGCAGGTGCGCAGTGCCAACTATGAAGCAGATCCTTTCGTGCAAGAGTTCCAGTTCAAAGTGCGTGACGAGATGGCCCACGTGACGGGGCGAGTGCTACCCGCCCCCATGCTGCAGTACGGCGGCAGGGTGAGCACAGAGCACTTTATGGTACCCTTCTTTTAAATCACGCCCATTTCTCTCTGTTTGTCTGACACGCCCCCCTCCCCCCCGACACACGTTAGTGCAACGCGTGTGTGGGGGGGGGAACTAACTCACCGGCTGCTCGTGTTTGTTTCATGGTGTCTGGATGTGTTTTCATTTTGTTTGGCTTTTGTCGTTGAGTCTTTCAAGTGCAGCTTTGGTTTCCAAATTTTGAAAAATGTTATTAAATTAAGTGCATTTAAAAGGTGGCAACCTGAAAATGTCTACCTGGAAGAATTCTTTGGAATACATTTGGAACATTCGGCCTCCATCATGTCTGATGTCCAGAATCATCAGTTCAAGAAGTCTCTGAAAAGTGCAGAAGCAGCATTTTAAGACTGAACTACAGTTCCAATTAACACTTGTTTTCTTTTAAGGGGACATATCATTTATCATACATTGGGGTCTGTGTTACATAAACCTTTGGCTCAGTTATGTACAAAACACTGCAAATGATCCACACAAACACACACACATACACACAGACACACATCAAATTCCATCTTACTCTCTGTAGATGGCAGAACCTCGTACACCGTACTAGATTTGCACACTTAGGGTTAATCTGAAAATGGTCTGTAGTGAAATCTTCTTAAATGTGCATGTTTTTGTAATGTTAACGTGTGCGAGGGAGTGACGCGGATGCAAAATTAGTTTTGTCTTTGTGCGTCTTGTGTGTCAAAATTGGAGTGCTGTCTCCTCGTTCTGCCTGTTGTCGCGTGAGTTGTGCAAACACAAGTGTTAGCCGTCATAATCCTGAGCACTGGTGTTGAGACGGAGCTGTCATTTCAGAACCGTACTGTAGCCACGCCCAGCCACGGGGTTTGGGACATGAGGGGAAAGCAGTTCCACACAGGGGTGGAGATCAAGATGTGGGCCATTGCCTGCTTCGCCACACAGAGGCAGTGTCGGGAAGAAATTCTCAAGTGAGTTCCTGTCACATGACAACAAATTCAAAAGAGATGGACAAAGGACTGACCTCACAGGAGTCTCTCTTACACCTCAGCTTGCATTTCAAGCTGGAAATCCAAGCTTTCCAGCAGGATTTCTTAACCTTCAGGCCTACAAAATACCGATTTAAGACTTGGTGCCTTAATGAAAATCAATCCAAAATATAATGCTGCTGGAATATAGGCCTTTGTATAATGCAATCAACCCTAACTGTCTCAGTTTAGATGTTCAATCATTCTCTTCTGTTTGCTCTTTTTCGTCCTTCGTGCAGGGGTTTCACTGACCAGCTGCGCAAAATCTCAAAGGACGCTGGGATGCCCATCCAAGGCCAGCCGTGTTTCTGTAAATACGCCCAGGGAGCGGACAGCGTGGAGCCAATGTTCAGACACCTGAAGAACACTTACGCCGGGTTGCAGCTCATCATCGTCATCCTGCCGGGGAAGACTCCAGTCTATGGTTAGAAGTGATGCAACTTGCAGTTTTCAAGCCATGTTTCTGTTAAACCCTGAAAAGGAATTCTTTTTCTCCAAGTATTTGATACTTTAGGTGGTATGCTGTCTTTTTTCCCCTATCTGAAGCATTTCATTAGTTTGCTGAGCAGGATATGAGTACTGTTACTCTGCCCTTTGGGCCTTTGTTTGAAAGACATTAATATGATTGTTTTTCTCACCACTCGTAGCGGAAGTGAAGCGTGTGGGAGACACCCTTTTGGGCATGGCAACCCAGTGTGTCCAGGTGAAGAATGTGGTAAAGACGTCACCTCAGACTCTCTCCAACCTCTGCCTCAAGATCAATGTGAAACTGGGAGGCATTAACAACATCCTGGTGCCTCACCAACGGTGAGCCACACCTTTTCTTTTCACCACAAGATTTCTAATAAAACTGTTTTGGAATCAGTACAGACACTGTGTGTGTGCTCCTTTTATTCATGTCTTTACTGTTTTCTATGTACAGGCCATCAGTGTTCCAGCAGCCAGTTATCTTCTTGGGGGCAGATGTTACTCATCCACCAGCCGGAGATGGGAAGAAACCTTCAATTGCAGCAGTTGGTTTCTTTTCTTTTTTTTTTTTTAACCAATCCATTCTGACTTTTCATGTCAATTCCTGATTGATTGGTTTCTCACTCCTGCCTGTCTCTTGTCTTTTCCAGGTGGTTGGCAGCATGGACGCGCACCCCAGCAGGTACTGTGCTACTGTGCGTGTCCAGAGGCCCCGTCAAGAGGTCATCCAGGATTTGGCCTCTATGGTACGAGAACTGCTGATCCAGTTCTACAAATCTACTCGCTACAAGCCCACCAGGATCATTTTCTACAGGGACGGAGTTTCAGAAGGCCAGTTCAGACAGGTCTGCCCCAACACTTTCAAATATTTCATTACAGTGTGGTTATAGTTTCTCTTGGAGGTTAAATTTAAAATGTCAACAATCAAATATGTAACTTTTTGCCTATAAAACATTTCATAAACTGTTTTATATGTACTTATTCACTTTATTGTTGATGAACAGTGTTATTGTGTATTGATTTTCATTACCAGATCATTTAATGAGATCTTTTACTTGTATTTTTAAACAGTTGAATAGGGAATAGCTCCATGAGTTACATGTTTGGAGAAGAGTTTTTTTTTTTTTTTTTTAAATGTTCAAGGAGTATTTCTCATCCTCCTCCTTTTCTTAAGGTGCTGTATTATGAGCTGCTGGCCATCCGTGAGGCCTGTATCAGCCTGGAGAAGGAGTACCAGCCAGGCATCACCTATATCGTTGTGCAAAAACGCCACCATACACGCCTCTTCTGTGCCGACCGCAATGAGAGAGTAAGTCCTCACCAAGGACAAACAACAGCTCACACACACCTTCTGAATTTAGATAATGATAAAGATTATGTTGCCTCTTAACTCAAAATAAATTTCAATTCAATACAATTACATTGATGCCAAAAGAGAGAGTTTTAGTTACAGGTTAATTACATATCTATGAATGTGTTACCATTATATAAACTAATTGATCTAATCTCTCATTGCCCATGATAATCAAAGGAAGGAGCAACTAAAATCATCTCCTAATTTCACAGTTTTTATTCCTGTTCTGCTTCCTAGAAGTCGTTGAATTCATATGAAATAATAATGTCCTATTGCAGAACATCTGTAGATATGACAAAAAAAATAACTCCACGTAACTTAAAGACAAATTATGTGCCGTGAATTTGGCTATAGTGACTTATAAGCGAGTTAAGGGTGAACAGCTTCAGCCAAAAACATTTCCATAAAAGTTGGGTAAATGATGATATAAAAAGTACAAAAATAGCTGTTGTGTTGTGGCTGTATATTTTTATCCGTGAAGAGATTCGTGGAAAAAAATAAACTGTTCCTCGTACGTGAACTGAAATTACTTCAATTTTTCGGGTTGCAGCCATCATACGACTGTGGGGTATTAATTCTCGTTCATCCTCTTTATTAGGATAGTAAGTGCTGAAAATTGGCTTCTTTAGTTACCTCTTCCAGTCGATGACTCTATTCACCCTCATAACCTGGGTAATTATGTTCGATTAAGGCATTAGGGGCCAAACACAAACCAATAGCTCTGGAGTGGCACTCAAGGCCTCCTGTGTAAGACCTAGCCGGTAACAGCCTTATTTTCTGCACAGAGCATTAAGCTCTCAAGGGCATTAGGATTTTAATTGTTGTTTTCGGAAGCACTGAGCGAACTTCTGCCCAGGTTGCTCCATCAACTATTTCCTTTTGTTTTTTGTTTGTTTTTTATTATTTATTTATTAGAACTCTTCCAGACATTATTTCATGTTTTGAAAGCCTTTTAAGTAGTCTTGAGGAAATGACTAAGATTGAATTTGCCTCACCAGGTTGGACGTAGTGGAAACATTCCCGCTGGTACCACTGTGGATACGGACATCACGCATCCCTACGAGTTTGATTTTTACCTCTGCAGTCACGCTGGAATACAGGTCAGAGCAACGTCTTGTTTTTTCTCCGTTTCCTTCATCCTCTCCTCCACTAAAATCTTACCGGACAGCTTTTGCTCCGAGCAGATACGGTCAACGTTTTCGATGCGTTACAGACGGCTTCTAAAATGAAGGAGCATTTTTACGTATTCATTATTTTTAAGATACCAAAGAGTTTTCACATTTAACCAACTTGTGTCCATAAAGAGACTGTTACTTCGAATAGAGATGGACACCTTGTTTAAGAAAGTTTGCAACTTATAGAATAACCGAAATCATAAGAATTTTTCTTTTTTTTTTATCCTGGCATAGTTCATGATGGAGTAAGGTTTGAAGTTTTTCTTTTTGTGCTTCCACCAAAAGCAAATTCCTGTCAATTCTATTGAAAAGTATAAAATACCAATGCGCTCTCCCCTTCCCCGCAGGGCACCAGCCGGCCCTCCCACTACCATGTGCTGTGGGATGACAATTGTTTTACCGCTGATGAGTTCCAGCTGCTCACCTACCAGTTGTGCCACACCTACGTGCGCTGTACCCGCTCAGTCTCCATCCCCGCGCCAGCCTACTACGCCCACCTGGTGGCCTTCCGCGCACGCTACCATCTGGTGGACAAAGAGCATGACAGGTGAGGGAAGGGGAGGGGGTGTAAACTTCGCAACTCTTCTTTTAGACTCTGAAGGGTTTTGACAGCACTTTCATTTTAAAAATGGTCAATTTACAGAATGCACTTTGCCACTCTCATGTTGTTATTGTGGGTCATGCGTCACAGCTGGTCCTCTCCTGATTTCTGTAGCGCTGAAGGCAGCCATGTGTCTGGTCAAAGCAACGGACGAGACCCCCAGGCGCTGGCCAAAGCTGTCCAGATCCACCACGACACCCTGAGGACCATGTACTTCGCCTGAGCGAACAACAACCTTCTCCAACCATTGCCACCCATAACACACACACACACACGTAGACACACACACACAACCATGCACGCCTGGCTTGCCAGTCAAGGAGTCCTCATAGGTGCATGTACCACCCCACCATCCCCCCCCCCCACATGCCTAGTTAATCCGGACCTGACACTGTGCAGAGGAAAGCAGGGAGGAGGGAGGGGAGGAGGCACCCCCACACTGGACTGAGGATGCAAACGCTGCTTTAAAAAACAAAACAAACAAACAACAGAAACTCAGCACTATTATGCAATATTAAACCAGCCAACTAGTTTAATTCCACGCTTACCAGGCCCCCTTTTCAGTGCTCTTCCCATCTGTTTTTGTGGGTTGTATCCTTCAGACGTGGCCTCGTGGGTGTTTTTTTTTTGGTTTTGTTTGACTTTCCCCATGATTTGGCACCGCCTTTCTTAAAAATGTGTTATGCTCCTTTTTGCTCTCTCCAGTACCTCAAGTGAGTTTTAGCTGCAGCACTTTTTACATTCTCTCATTTTTACTGTAGTTCGCTGATACTGTCCCAAGCTTTGAAACAAGGAGTCAGTTATTTTTGTTTGTTTTTTTTACCTTATTTTTCTTTAGTACAGTTTCTAGGACCACTGGTCCACCCAGTTGCCACTTTTGTTTTTCCTCTCTTTTCTGTCACTTTTTATTGTCATGTTACTTGTATAGAGCCACATGTGTTTTTTCTTTTTTTTGAGCACACTGCCATCTGTTGGCTACGAGGTATAATGCCCCCTAAAAGTCAGAACAGGAGTTGTGAGGTTTTAGATGAGTTTTGATTTACTTTAAGTCGGTTGTCCCATTAAAAACGGGGGCAGTTTATGTTGGCTGATATATATCAAGTGCTGAATTGCAGCCATGTATGGGGTTTATTTTAGTATAACACTGTTTTAATATGGTTATGTTTCTTCTGCATTATGTGAAACATTTTAAGAGTCTACCTTTGTTTTTTTTTGTTTTTTCGATTACTTAATCATGTAAGCTTCTGTTTGTAATCCCAGCAACCGGCAAACATTTATTTCCCTCAATGCTTTATCTTACATTTCCCTCTTGTGTTTTAAACAGTGAGTGAATGGATTTTTTCCAATACTTTCCTTTAGTGCAATAATCAGTTGAACGAAGGGAAGAGGATTTTAGGGGACTCAAACGACTCAAAGATAGAGTTATGCGTTTCATTTGAAAGTGAGGGTCCTCACAAGGAGAAAAGGTTTTGCCACTTCCATAGCACTTTCTTGTAAGTGGAAGGAGCAGCAGATTTTCCCCAGATTGCCCCCAGCTGTTATATAATAATGGTGCAGCCATTTTTTTTCTTCCTAAACTTGAATTGAAGGATTTTCTTTGTGCCCCTGTGGTTTGACTATGATCCATGGTTTATGATATCCTGATCATCAGTTTGTTAATGAGCCTGATTTTCTTAATTCTAGAAGAATAAGTGAGCTTTTCCCCTGATGGCGGCCATATGGAGATAGTATTTAAGTGCCTGGTGGAAATGTTTCATCACCAAAAGCTGCACGTTGTTTTAGCAATCCCATTTCATGGTGGGGGGAAATGATCAAATAAGCATATTTCAACAAATAGAAGAAGTCCAGACGATTGAAGCAAAAGAGCTTCACCTGTTGCCTCTTATACTGATCAACAACTGTCTACTGACTTTTCTATACATCTCATTCAAAACGACCTTTGATCAATATATTTATTCTATTAGCCTATGCAGCGGTGTTAGCTGTTGGCTTGATTTCAAAGTTGTCTTTTGCTCAGTATCCACCAGACATGAATCCAGCTGCTACAGTGTTTGTGACTGACGGGTCAGACTCATTGGCATGAAGTTAGCCTTGTTTTCACAAAGTACACCGCTCGGTGTAATTCCTGCCCCTTGCGACTGGCCCCAGAACTGGGGCCGGCTTCAGAGCACAGCTGATGGGCGGACGGACGGGCGACCGTGGGCAGAAGCTATGCCCCCCCCACCCCCCCGCAGCAGTCGCAGTCGGCACATCGCTGCTCTCCAGCCTGAAGCTCGTCGGGTGCATGTTTTTACAAAGTAATCTGCACTAAAAGAAGCATGTGTTTAGGGAATGAACACAGGCATGGTGCTACTCTGTCTGACTACGAATTTGAACCTGAGCCTCTGTTTGATGAGACTCCACGTGAGCAGGTGGACGCGGTGAAGTGGAAAAACGCTGAACCTCACTTAAGTGAAGGACGGGAGTGTGCCTCTGCTGTGGTCGGCGCGGGGACTTCCAGATTTACGACTGACTCTGGGTTTCATCCGCGTAGGTTTTCTGTTGTCGTTTGGGTTGGACTTTAGACGGTACAGCGGCAGTCGTCCCCCTGGGCGGTGAGGTGTGACGTAGGGTCCTGTTGCATCGGGCTGCCTTTCACAGGCCAGGCGGGTTCCAGCCTTCATTATGTCACTAGCATCTGAAAGCCTTTCTAAAAAGCCAGATCGAAAGTATATTTGTACATTTAAATTATGTAATGCACACCACTTATTTTTGCTAACAGAAAAAAAAAAAGTAGTCTAATTATTAATCTTAGTAATAAATGTATCATGATAAGTAACGGTTGAAAAGATATAACAAAGTTTTATTATTGCAATTGACTGTTGACTTGTTCCTGTGTCACTGTACAACGTGTAGTGTTTGTGTATACAGTGGTGGGGTTGTTGAAACTAGTGATGTGTGTTTGGACTGTCATACTGTTATCGATAAGGATGTGGACTTGAACCACCTCTTGCTTTGGTGTCTGGGGAAAAAAAAAAAAAAAGCAAGACGCTGAATGCTTAATTCTCTCATGTAGACACAGTGAAAGGCTTTTCCTAGTTGAACGGATGAAGGAGAGATGGGTTGCTATGTTGAGCTCAGCGCTCGTGAATGTTTTCCGGGGTTTTTTTCCTGCAACCGGTGCTGACGTCTGCTCCCCGTCGAGGTGGGGGCTGAGCGGAAAGGGAAACGGGCAAGTGGTTGGAAAGTTTCAGTGATCCATATTAAAGACGCGCGATCAAAGAATAACACGAGGGGGGCTTAGCAGCCCGCTGCTCCTTTTGTGCCGGGTCCGCCGGGGATTTGAGGCGGATTGCGACCTCCGTCGCTTTCCTCAGACCGGCGTCCTCCTTGGAGCCGCTTCACGAGCACACAAATCCAGAGAGCCGGCCTCCCGCTAAACCCGTGCTGTGACAAAGCCAGTAATCTTCTTTTTTTTTGCTCCCAAACATTTGCTCCCCTGTGCCAGAGGACTACATTCCACGGCCATACAATCTCCCCCCAATCCCCGTAAGAGGTAGAAGAAAGGTTAGAGCTGGAGGACAATTTAGCAGGCTCTCCAATTCATTCAAGTATGTGTGTGTGTGTGTGGGTGTGTGTTTTGGAAGGAATTTAAGCTGATCATTGAGAGCTTTACGTGGCAGGTCATGCTGGAAGCCGGTGTGCGAATGTGTGTGAGTGTGTGGTGGGGCTGGGGGGGGGGTAATTTACTCACTATATCTGCTGTCTGAAATGGATGTTCAGGTTGTGTAAACTACAGGTTGAAGGCAGTTGAACACATGTTTACATAGCAGATGTGTTTGCCTGGCTTCCGTTGGAAATGTCATCAGCTCTGCTTTGCAAATATTAGCTTGTAGTGACCTGAAAAAAAAAAAAAAAATTGAGACCATTTTCGGCCTGTGGAAGTGAATGTTTGGACATGAAGTTTTTTTTTTTCTGTTTGGGCAGTTTTTCCTCCGCAGACATTACACAGCAGAGGAGAACTCATTTTTCCTCCCCCTCTTTATTAAGATTACGCGTTTGTTTTTAGTTTTTCTAATAATACTGATAGAAGTTTTTGGAAGCTGAATAAAAACACATTACCCACTAAGAGGTAGTTTGGGGAGGGGTAAAAAAAAGAGAAGTCCAGTTAACTGCTGAAGGTCAGAGTCTCCATTACTAACGGAAAAGTGGAGGTGTTTTCCATTTTTAGTCGTCCGGTTAATTCAGCTGATCCTGGTTTGAGTGGAAGGTAGCAGAGGAGTGAGAAATAAGTCCACAGAAAGTGCCTTTCCTCTTGATGGTGCTGTCAATTGAACGCGAAAACGTCAAATCAAAGAAAATAAGGAAATCTCCTCTTCAAAAACAATTTTGCAATGCAGGTATGGCTGAATTTTACACACACACACACACATTCACTGTGCGTGTTTGTCTTTTTGATTATTTCTTTCGAGACGACGGCGCAAACACGATTAATTTATTTATAGATTAAAGCTACATGGAAGTACAATATTATGCCAAGTATGTGGTTGTGGTTGAGCTCCTGCTTCGTAGTGCATTTAGAGTCTTGGACCAATGGTGTTGGTGGTACAGTTGAACGTGGGTTTGTGGGGATGGGGCGCGGGATGGTGGGGGTGTGGGGTGGGGGAGGGTGGGGGGGTCATATCCGGCACACCTCAGCCCACGAATGACAAACATAG